AATACCAACTTGCCCCCATTGCACACATATGGTGACAATTATCAATTATTTTTCATCCTCCCTTCAGTTATCAATTGTTTTTTCATCCTCCCTTCATTGATTATACCCCATGGATTTATTGAAATAAATTATTTGACTGATAATTATGGGGTTTATCGAGTATGGTCCTGGAAATAATGAGAATATTAAAGGATTCTTTTTTTCTTTGTAATATCGAGAATAACTTCATCAGGATTTGGGCTCCAAACATTGTCAGGTATGAAGTTTAACTGTCACTATATATATATATATATTTTAAATAAGAGAGCTATTTTGGATTTTATGTTAGCTTAATTTACAGATAATTCAAATGATTAATAAGAAAATGATGTATATCAACAAATCAGGTCCACTCAATGCCATTCTTTTATGAAGGTGTACAATGTACATGTACATGTACATGTATTCTTATTTATTCTTCAATACAGTCTTTTGTGAACAAAGTAATTTCAAATGCAATTATAGTATTGTAAATTAGCAGGTTCAGATAATACAAAATAATGTGAATTGAATTTTTTTATGAAAAAAAAATACATGAACTTATATTAATTTGGTTGAGACATATCTGTGGTGAACATTAAGTTGTAGCAAATCCCCATTTCTAAAAATGGTTGCTCATGAAATTAAAGTGTGAAATAGCAAATAAATCACCTGTACATGTAATAAGATATAACTGTGAGTGTCAAGGTCTTTGTCAATGCTTGTCCCCCCTCAAGTCATCTTTGAACTGGCTCCCCAACTGGGTTTTACTATATTTTGATGAAATCCTTACAAAAATACTTGAACTGAAAAAGTGGATTGTATGCTAAGTTACCAAATAAATATTACATTCAATGTGTATTTGTAGAGTAATCTGCTGGGGATATTTTTTTTGGTAATGGATGCTGTTTCAAAATTCTGCAGTACAAATCTCAAGTTACACTTTACATTTTATTGGAAGCAAAAATATACCTTAAAAAGTTATGAACCTTCCCCTGTTCACTATGGCAATCATTTAGCTATGACACCAATTTCGCTGTTTCCATGGTTGATTTTGAGCTCTATATACTTGCAAATGAAATAAGAGAGTCACAACAAATCTAATGCTTCTTATTAGTCGTCTTACTCAAAGCCTGTTCTGGCATATCTTCTCAACTTTCAAGCAGAAAAGTTTAAATGACAAAAGCATGAAATTTTAAGCACTGTTTGAAAGTATCGATTAACTTAAAATGTGAGTTATTCTTGTCTGATTAGATAGAAATGTATGTAGATGTAGGAATAGTACAATTCTTTCTCCATAAAGGATATATTTACATGTACATGTACATGTACATGTACATGTATACTCAAAAATGGATGCTGTTTCAGTGAACAGCTGTTTGGCACATACATGTACATGTACAATGTATTTCTTTTACATTGCACTTTTTCAAACTAAAAATGACAACACAAACTTCCACTTTGTTTCCTGTGCAAGTATATTTACTTATTAAGGCTACATCTGTAGATGTACTGGAAATGTTGTCTAGAGTCTAGAGCAGTTTCATACATCAGATTTGTGTTCAATGTACATGTAACTTTACTCCAAAAGAGTTCTAGCCTACTCCTAATCTTTTCCATTGAAACAAAGTCTGAATTACTAGGCAACTCAAAATCGCTGTTCTCTGATTCTGCATCACTGATGTCACTCTCATTTACCGAGTCTTCATCTTCGCTAGGTACATTACTACATTTTCCTTGTTGACACTTGCACAGGTCAGTGCAAGGTATGCTATTTTCTAGACATGTACACTTAGCTGGATCTGTACAGTTAGTGCGTCTACATCTACCAGAACAATTTACAAGTTCCAAAACACTTTCTGGAGCAGGAGGAAGGCTTCCCCAGTGTATGGCCAGTTGACCATCTTCGATTTGCCAACCATGTCCTACTGGAGAGGGAAGCAACTGCATTTGGACAAGACTTTGCTGATAGACTGCAGCCTGGTAGTTTGCCCTTTTGATGTGCTGACACAGAGAATCTCTGTTTGGTGGCATCACTAACTCCGATTTCGCCAAGCAGAACATGTTGTACCTTGCCTTATTAACTTCTGAGCTATCATGCTGTGCATACATCATGCAAACAAATTTCTCTAGAACCGCAATCATGTCTTCTGCAACTTCAGGTGAGCCACCTAATTGTTGGAATACTTCCCAGAAATTGTGATTCTTCAGGAGAAGGCTGAGAGCTTTTTTTTTTCCCTTTCCATAAAAGGCGCTGACGCTGTCACACCCTGTTAAACAATGCATGCCAATCAGGGCAGCACTAGCTTCACTCCCAACACTATTATGAATGGCCTCCAAATCCAATGTGCGGAGTTTTGCACCGTTTCCTGTGTGAAGTAGCACACGACACGGGATTTTCTTCACCAATGAAACTCCTATGATGAAAACATCTGTGTCAGGAGACTTCAGAACAACACAGGAACTGTCTTGTGCTGCATAAGCTGCATGCAAGTACATACGAGTGTCGGCTTCCTCGTGGTTGCACTCCAGTTCAGGAACCTCATCCACATTGACGCTGTCGTCTCGGTTGTCAACATTACAGGAAAATGCATGGCACTTGGACCCATGGGCAAGAAAGACTTTGACTCCATGCAGGTCTTCTCCCTTATGCAGCCTCCAAGTCTCGAACATGTATTCAATCAGGTCTACCTTATTGGCACTACATGAAAGGAACTTCTTCCACTGCTGCGGGATGGCCTGTCCATACACCCTGATGCGTTGTGAACCACTTGCTGCTCTTTTTGCTCGCTCTGCATTCTTAATGGATACATCTGGGTAAGTATCAGTGACAAAATGAATTGCGGTGGCAGATATGCTATTTGCCAATGACACAAGACGTTGAAGGATGGAATCTGCCAGTTTCACAAATGTTTTAGGGCCTTGAGGTTTCTTCGGATCAAGCTGTTGAATCATGGCCATACCGTCTATGATGAAAATACTTCCAGATGGTATTTCTGTGGTTGAACTTTCACAAAGTCCTTCTACGGCATGAAGGAGATTGGCTTTGTTGGTCTTCACGAGACAGCCTTGTCTGGTTGCAAATGGCAGCGGCAATGGGCCCAAACAATAGGTCATCATGACTTGGAGATTGATCTTTCGAACCCTGCCGATAACAACTAACCTAGCCAACGGTTTCTATCTGTCTTGAGTGCAACCTCTCTCCCACGAACTGAACTCTTCACTTTTGGACATGTCACTGAAGGTCTTCAACTTCAACTTTTTCATCTTGGAAAAAAGGTCAACTTCTCCTTTCTGCAGCCTAGAACTTGCAAAGTCACAGAATGCGTTTTCACCAGACATTCTTGCCGTCTCCAAATCTGATGCAACCTCACAAGAAGCAACGACGCCTGATGAAATTTGGACCAACTCCTCTTGCTCATAACTAAATGGATTAATCATGCTGCAGACAACTTCTTTGATTGTAGAAACATCATTCTGATCACGTATGATGCGACTTTGCTGCAGATCAGAATGTTTGCCTATAACAGGGCCTTTTCCTGCCATACCCTCACACTGACGAGTGATAGCAGCTCTGGCATGGTGTGTTGTTATCCACCTGTTAAGTGCTCCCTTCTTGTTTGTGAAACCAATCATTCCACCTTTTGTCTTGGAATCCCTGTTTGCAGTCTGCTCTATTGTGAGATCACATGCAACTTGTGCAAATGACTGGCCACCACGTTGTACAACAAAGTTGCCATCCATGTGATGTTGGTATACTTCAGGGTGGCTGTTAGGAAGATCCATCATTTCAAGCCAATAGACAGGCATGTATCTTCCATAATTCTGGTGATCATATGCAAATATCCAGGGAAGCATTTCTCTGACACTAGATAGATGGAGTTCCCAATTCCCTTCTCGCGTGGCTCTCTGGAAAAGAAGTAGAACTTCCACCATGTTGATGTAGGAGCTCCAGAAGTTGAAGGTTTTGCTGCTGCTCTTGGAGGATAAAAAGTTATCATACAGCATAGCTATGTGTTGAAATTCTTGACTGAAAGCCAAATCATGCCACGCTGAATCAGGAAATGAGGAATACAGACGTGAAATCAGGTTTTTGGTCTGTCCTTCTGCCTGAGAGAGAGATGACAAGAAGCTGTCTATCCGAAGTTGCTGCAATGCCTCATACATGAGTTTGTGGGCTCTGATACTTCTGTTGTAGTGATGACCATTGATGACCCTGTTAATTGATCCAGTAGCAACAACCTCAGCCTCAATCAGAACATCCTGCAAGCCAGCATCTTTGAAGCGTTTTCCAATGCATCCCATGTAGGTCATTGAACTGTGGAACGAGCCTAGTCTCAGAACAAGCCTCTTCATAAACACGGAATTTCCCCAACGGATTATCTGAGCTTTCGAGTACATGGCCTGATCAAGCACAACAACGATGATGTTTAACTGTAGCTTATCAGCAATCTGCAAACTTCGATGCAACAATGTGAAAAGAGTGCTCATTTCTGTTGGGCTGGAGTTAATTATTGGAAGATAACCAATGGCAGATCTGGGTTGAGTCTCCACCTGTGACATTAGTTGGTTGAAGCCAGTCCAAGCAGGCACTTTGACAGATTCATCACATGAAAACCTGGTCAAATTGAAGGCCAGTTCAAGTAGCCGAGGACTCTTCTGGACTGTTGGACAAGCAGTTTGACTCAGAGTCAGAGAAACATCTTGGGCAAATGGCTTTGGTCCTTCTTTCTTGCCTCCGAAGTATGTAATGAGATTGGGTGCTGGGGGTTCAACTGATCGCTGATGAGTTTTTTTCAATGTTGATGGCTGGACCTCTTGTTCCACTGGTGATGATGGGGATGTGGTAGGGCGCTGAATTATTATCCCATTCGTGTTATGTGTTGTTCCCTTTCCAGATAATGTCTCTTCCCCAAAGTCATTATTATCCCATACTAAGATTGTATGGTGACCCCCTTTGATGCCTGCAGGTAGAACAGATAATGTCTCTTCCCCAAAGTCATTATTATCCCATACTAAGATTGTATGGTGACCCCCTTTGATGCCTGCAGGTAGAACATCATCTCCCCGACTCATCTCTTACTTGGCTAGTGCCGTGTCATGCTCTAAAGCTACCGAGTGAGAAACACAGTATCCTAGTCCATTCATCAACCCGATTAACTGCGAAGATCCAGAAAGATGGCGAAGGGTCATTGCCAGTGACAGGTGTTTCGGAGTTTGTACCCTCCCTTTTGATGCAAGATAGACAATGTCCTGTGCAATCGTCAAGATACGGTTCTGAACAGCATCTTCCACCTTGACATACTGGCCATCCTCCGAGGGGTCACTGTGTGCACCTACAGCCCATGCAAGAAAATTGAAGAGTAGTGCTGGAACAAAGGATTGTGCAGCATCTATTGTCAAGTGAAGTGCTGTTGGGGGCCATGGCAATTTCGCATCTACATCATTGATCTCCTTCTTCAGTGCCTGGGCAGACATAAAGAGGTCGCTCAGTGTGAGCTGGTCAACTGATGGAAGAAATGAAGATGGAGTCTTCTTTCTACTGGTAGTTGCTTCAGAATCAAGGTCTGTTGTGTCTGTGTCTGTGGTTGAGGGACTGTGAAGTGCTTCCTTCAGCAGCTGTCTGTCTTCGACTAGGGTATCAACAGGAATATCATCAACAAAAACAATCTCACTCTGGCGTCTGTCTTTTGGACGATGGAAGCACAGCTGAGGGAATGTAAGCTGGAGACGCCTCTTCAGTGATGTTGTCTTGTATGAGGTGATGTCAATCCCATCTGTGTCTTTTACCTGTTGAATGAACTGCTGATTCAACTTATTCAATCTAAGTATTTCCTTATTCACAATTATTTTCTGGTTGACATATGAACAGAACTGAGTGAATGCTACATCATATTTATTTTCTGTACCTGGTTCACTGCTTCTAGTCAAGTATCTAGTGTAATCTCTATAGCATGTCATGTGGTATCGAACTTCTATGGCCACACAGTCTGATTCACCAATGTGAAGCAGCAGACTTGTATTGTTTCGCTGTTTGACCGCTTGCTTCAATCGTGCAGCTTCAATTGAAGTGCATGTTGACAGAGCCTCCTTCCGACGGCCACAAGAGCGCCTCTTCCGGCTGATCTATTTGTCTCGTTGGCAGATGATGCATACGGATGGAAGAATGTGCTTGGAACGCTGAGGTCTGGAAGGTAGGCTTGCACTGGATCTGAGCAGAGGCTTCTTCGGAGGTCTGTCATCATCATCACTGCTTGTTTCCTGATCATCCACTGCATGTGAAGTTGAAGCTGGGGACAACAGATGAAAAAACATGCAAGCAATGACATGAATTCTGCAGCGACTATTGAGGAAAACAAGAAATCTATTTTTTTTTATTATGTGTCTGAATTGTTCTCATTGTTTCTTCATTGCACTTTTATGTAATCAAAATCCAAATTGCTGAGCCACTGTTCTTTCATGTACATGTATAGCGCACAGTTGGTACTGAGAAGCATTGCAAACCCTACCTCTCCATGTGAAATGCGTCTGGTTATGACTGCTTGTCTCTGGACCATCCACTGCATGTGAGGTTGAAGCTGGAGGAACAACAAAAGAAAAACATAAAATCAATGAGTATTGGAATAAGTATTAAAGAGTATTGAACAATCTAATTATATGTGCCTTTTGAAATTTCTATTCCTATTTTATAATATTGGGTCAACATATACCCCAAAATTACATGTCAGTCAAGTTGTCTGGTACACGAGTACACTTACACTCAGGTGAACTTGAACATTTACTTGAGTCAATTTATATCCAGGTCAGATTGTATGCTCAATGGAGCGTACACTGAGGCAACACAAATGTGGCTCAAACACTACAGTAATGTGCACCCCCAGCACCGACTTATCAAAAACTACAAGAACAAAAACAGACAAAAACAGACATCTGAGTCTTTTATTTTGAAAGTGTAGTATACTAGAATCTCCCTACCGTATTGGTATGTCTAATACTTTGCATGATACCGCTCATCTGTTGCTTTGATGGAAGGAAAAAATATTCTCTTCGACATACAGAAGTAACAAATTGCAAGAGAATGGCCATAAATAGATAAAAGAAAAATGTCATCACTACAAACCAAAGTGTACTGTCACTGGCAGAAGAAAAAAATGTGAACCCCAGAGAGTCTAAAAACAGAGGGGAGTGCAAGTTAACACTGAAACTAAATGCCAAGCATTTTTAGATTAATTAATATAACGTGAGAATATCTCATTTTCAAATGTGAAAAAAGTTAACCTCAATTTCTCTCTAAACAACTTATTTGACCTACTATTCCCAAGCACGGTAAGCAGCCGGTGTTATTTTATTTAAAAGAAAATATTTAATGTGATAAGCAGCATTAAGATATTGGAGGCCAAAGTGACCTTTTTTTCTGAGGGCTATATTAGAAATTCCCCAAGATAATAAAAAAAATATGCCACAGTGAATCGATGAAGACATATCAATATTTGATACAGTTTTAAGTTTGGCATAAACTTCCAACCTTTTCGCTTTTTGTTGGTGACACTTGCTAATACACTGTGCTACAATACAAAATTCTACACTGTCGGAAAGGTGCATTAAAAATCTCTGTGAAGTGTGATGTGTTGTCTGAGAACCAAAGAAAGAAGCTCGGAAGAAATGTTGATTATAGATGTCGAGTAACACATGCACTGTGAATCTGATGATGGAGCATTTTATGCAATATATAATCTAGCAACGTCACTAGATTTAATGTTACATGTGTAGACTGGGCTCTTTTCAAAAATGAATGGCGGCCAAAACACTGCAAATGGGCCTATGGAATCTTTACTTGCAGTCTACATCATCATAAATAATGAGTGAGCTCAGTCATTAGGGCCTATTACATGTTTAATTTTTGCTCAAACCCAATAACGAGAGTAACGTTATATTATTTACAGATATCAGGCCTATATCAGTATCACGTGCATAAAAAAAGACTACATTGTACAGACTATTGGACCTACCAATCTAGTTGGCGACATTCTCAATAAACAGGTAAAGGACAGGGTTTTGATTTTTTTTGAGGGAAATTTGGGGATAAAATAACGATGACAGCGCGGCGACAACACGCGACCCAAAAATAAAGATGGCGATCACCGTGTGATGTACCGTGAGCACACACGGCGCGCTGAATCACAAGGCACAAACCGCGCAGGATAATTTGTGATTTCTACCACAAGCATGCCAAGAATCTGTTCAACATTGCAAAAAGGGTGTCATTAGACATTATTTGAGAAAAATCTGCTTTTGATTGTAAAGATGATTTTTGAGCAAAATTTTTTTTTGACTCTTAATTTGATCAAAACAAAACACGCCAGGGGCCCTACACTTCATGATCGCCTCACCATGCTCACACTGTCATGACTGTACATGTACATCCTGAATTGAATAGCATTCTTTTGACAATGACATATTTGATTTCTTTCCAACTCAAAGAAACCACGTACTTATCGATAGCATAGTCGTAAAATTGTGACACCTACCAGTTTCGGAGATTTCCCTCTGCCTTTTCTTTTGGAGTTTATCGATCTTATTTTTGTCCGTAAAGCGAGCATAGCAAGATCGATGAAACCCAGCGTTTTCCGGTGGTCCACCTGGTGAAGCTAGGCCAGCTGCTCTCTGCCACTGATGTTGGTCGTCACGTTTGGCCAGAAAGTCTCGCGCTATATCTGACTGTATTCCAGTCAAAAACTTCCATTTGTCTGCGAATTCGAGGAAGCGGGACCAACTTTGTACAGAAAATGGCGAAATATTGCCTTTAGCGTGCGGATCACAGTGTAAAATGCAAGTATTCGGAGGCGACTTTTCGCGACCCTCGTCGCGTTCAGAAGCCGCCATGTTGTACAATGTGTCAGCGATATATAACGAGTGCGCTGATTGGATGCCGTCGGCGCCCTCAATAGTCTTGATTAAGACGGCATTTCCGATTGGTCTTAAATTAGGCTCAGTCACGTCTTTAAAGTGAAGTCAAAAGACGATCGTATTTCCTCAAAAATAAATATATTTTGCCAGTTCTTCACTAATCTTGACTCATATGTTGGTTAACGATATTATTTTCAGCCCATCTCATTGCTCATAATGATCTACCACTGAAAAGATCACGAACGAAAACAATAACTGAACTCGGCCTACAGTCTATGTTGGTGAGATACTCTCAATGAATGGCAGCCATCTTGGATATTTCAAAATGGCCGCCATTTCAGACCTAATTTGTATCATACATTGTAACTTCGGACCTGATTGTCGTATGAAGTCCATTTTGGTGGCAAACCCTATGTTGTTGTTTTTATACCAAGGAATCCAAGTAAATCATTGTTGGTGAGATACTCTCAATGGATGGCAGCCATCTTGGATATTTCAAAATGGCCGCCATTTCAGACCTAATTTGTATCATAACTTCGGACCTGATTGTCGTATGAAGTCCATTTTGGTGGCAAACCCTATGTTTTTTTTATACCAAGGAACCCAAGTAAATAATAGTTGGTGAGGTACTCTCAATGGATGGCAGCCATCTTGGATATTTCAAAATGGCCGCCATTTCGGAGCTCATTTGTATCATAACTTTGGGCCTGATTGTCATATGAAGTCCATTTTGGTGGCAAATCCTACGTTTTCAATACCCAGGAACCCAAGTAAATCAAATTTGACGGGGTAGTCCCAATGGATCGCAGCCATCTTGGAAACTTCAAAATAACTGCCATCTTGGATTCATTTTAATAATAACGTACGTTGCAAGTGAATGTCGTATGAATTAGTCCATTTTGGTGGCAAACCCTATGTTTTCGATACCAAGGAACCCAAGTAAATCAAATTTGATGGGGTAGACTAATGGATGGCAGCCATCTTGGATACTTCAAAATAACCGCCATCTTGGATTTAATTTTAATAATAACGTATTTTGCATTTGGTGGCAAACCCCATAAATTTGATACCAAGGAATCTAAAAATACATTATTGATGAGGTATCCCCAATAGATGGCAGCCATCTTGGATATTTCAGAACGAGCACCATTTTGCAGTTCAGTTTTTAAAGGGTCTCTATAGCCACGGTGACAAGTGTTGACCATTCGTGGACTGGATTGTTAATTATTGGCAATAATAGAGCGGCATAGTGACAGAATTGTGCACTTTGTGGTTAAACCTGGCATGTCACGTCTTCATGCCTTGACGAGAATTTTCAGATATGGAGGCATTTCATATTTGACCCCTGGTGACCTTTGTGAAGGGTCAATGAATGGGAAGAATGAAGAATCCAGGTGCCACTTCAGCGGTTGTGTACAAAATCTATGGAGAGTCAAGAAAGTTTTTAAATTATTTTCCTAACAAAATTGGAAACGTCTTTTCAACACTTTTTCAATGACTGACCTTTATTGAGATATATGATGTAAAAAGTGATGTCGAGATGCAACATCTTTTCCCAATGAACTTTGTATACCCCAAATGCCGCTATTTATTTAATCTTCCAAATGCCACTTTTCATGACGTGTGTAGGTCTTAATAGTGAAAAGGAAGTGTGTTTTAACAATTATTCCATAGTATGTAACGATTCAGACCCAAAGAAAATTTTGTCATGACCTCTGATCTCCATTTCCCTGTTTTGAGAATATAAGAGGTACATCGGACAAGCATCACACTCTCACAGTGACCAGTGGGCTGTGTAAAAAGGTTAAAAATGTGGTTACCCAAGTCCATCTGGATAGCAGAGTGTAATAAGAACTAAATATTGAATACTGCTTGACATTTGTTAATATAGTCCATTGCATTCCAATCGCAGCATGTTGCGTCTGCCATTAATTACAAAAGAAAAAGAAAATTGAGTTCAGAGGTCACCTCAACATTTTTTGTGCATGGGGTCTGAATTCAATACATGGCTTTGGAATAAATATGATAGATATCATAGGAAAGTGAAGTTTTGAAGAATAATTTTTAAAGGTTGTTGACTCTCAAAGGTCACCAGAAGTCAAATATGAAATGCGTCTTATATCTAAAAATTGTCTTCAAGGCATGAAGAACCAACATGCGAAGTTTAGTTCATAATTTTATCACAGATTGCACAATTCTTGGTATAATTTGGGCTATGCCGCTCCACTACAAGTACGTGTGAATGCTGTCTATAGTTAGCAACTAGTAAGTCCACTTCAGGTTATGTGTGTGTCTGGATTTCTTTTTGTTTAAGTGGCTCTCTGCATCAACTGCATCACATGCCCAGACAACCCTGGTCCTGTCGTGGCTAGGCTAGATATGAAGCAGAGTCGCAACTTTTGGTGTCTCGACTCAACTCAAGTCCCTAAGGGTAAATGACTGGACTCGACGGCGAGCAAACGACTCAAGTCCCTTAAGGTAAATGACTTGACTCGACGGCGAGCAAACGACTCGAGTTCTCATCAGAAGACTCGACTCGACTCGAGCAAAGGATAATTACATGTAGACTCGAGCCCTAAATATAAAAGCGAAACTTTGCGAAAAATAATTGGACTGACTTACGATGCAACATTTATGTTCATGCCGCTTTGCGAATACAGTTACAGCGGCCGCTTGTAATGTCCACGTGTCACAGACTCCCATACCACATTATTCTGGAAGGCACAAAATACTATCCAACGAGGAACAGGATTTTAAACACATTCTCCAATTTGTTGTCTCATCATTGGCTTTGGGCGATTTCTTATAAAGTTCTTGGATACGAATGCCGGCTAAATTTATGCCCTCCTTTTAAAAATTAAATAGAAACATACTGACTCTTAAATAATCAGAAACAGTTTTGTATAATGCAATTTGGTTTTGATGTCGGCGTATCAGCGAAAAAAATCTAGACCCAAAGCCAAACCAGATAGCCTTTATAAGATCTAAGTTTCACTTCTTGTTAACTGTTAATGATCCAAAGACTTTCTCTCTTGTCTTTGTTATGTAGTCTTCAAATATTCGTAACTGGAATTGACTCGAGGTAAACATTTGACTCCACCCGACTCGACTCAAATGAAACTAATGACTCAATTCGACTCACCTTTTTAAAATGACTTGACTCGACTCGGGTTGACTCGAGTCACAAAAATTGGTGACTCGTTACAATTCTGATTCACACAAGTTTATGTGCTGTCAGGTGCCTCGGAAAGACGGTTGAACAAAGTG